TCAAACCTCAAGAGCTTCACAGACACTCTCAAGCTCCGGCCTATACTGTATCTTCTGCTCAGTCAACACAACCTCGATCACACCCAAACAATTCCGGCTTCCCTCTTCCAATACCGGCACAGCAAGCGTGCCCCTCACGTCAAATCTCTGCGCGTGCCCGACTCTCGGATACTCATCACACGTGAAAAAACGGACATCTGGCGTCCACTCTGGCGCCCTGTTCATAAAAACCCTCCCGGGCAACCCCACAACCTCCTTAGACTCCTCGTCAGCAACAAACTGGAAATTGACCGATATGTCCCTGTAGTGGGCCAGCCTCGGCGGGCAGTTGAGATCGAGCGAGAACGGTTGGTTGTGCGTGGTAAGCACGCGCTTCCCATCTCGGGTGATCGGGACCCACACCTGTATTAGCATGTCCTTGTCCTTCGACCGGTCCTTTATATGGCCGAGGGCTTGGATCAACCGGTCAACCACAGAGATCGACGGCCTAGGCCCGATCCAATATTTTCGGGCCTCGACCAAACCATTTTCGAGATTAGGAGTGTTATCTGTAGAATATTGGTTGTCTTCTTCTTGTTGGTCGATGTTAGACGGGCCTTCATTGGATTCAAGGGCGGGCCAAGGGAATGAGGGCTCGAAAGGGGAGATTGGGGTCGAGGGATTGAATTGCGAGAATTCGGATTCGTTTGTTTCGAGCCAACAGCCTTCGAGTAAGAGTTCATCCATGAAGGCGTCGGGTGGTGTATCGAGAATCGTGCTCGGAGGAAGAATAATATCTTCCTCCATTACCAAGAGATCCTCAGACAACACCAAATAGAGTTTCCACAGACAAAGACAAACAAACTGCTGAAACTCAGAACCAAATTTAGAAGACCTGTGTAACCAAATATGGATTTCAAATTGTAACTAACTGCAAAGAACTTATATAGCTCCTAAGAAAAAACTGGATTATGCAGGGAGTAAAAGAATCTATAAAGAGGCTCAAGTTGCTATTAGATTGTTACACAGAAGTATCAAAGATCGAATTTTTATGTAATCCTTTCATCAACATGGACTCCTTGACTGAGCTTTAGCATATCAAGAATTTTGTTTCAAGATATTTTTTTTTTTTCATAAATTCAAGAATACAAGCACAGGGAGGACACCTAAAAGGATGTCATAAATCTGGAGCCCAAAAAGTACATTATGACTTTATGGTAGATTTATGAACAGGGCCAAAAGAAAAAGTTCACTCATTAAAGATTCTTTTTTTTTTTTTCACCCTTTTATCAA